CAAATCCAAGCTATTTCCGAATGTCGCGCGTTTTTGGTCATTGTCCTGTGGGAAGATCCACGAGCTGCAACTGAAACCAAGCTTTCTGACACTGGACATCACATTTTCCATCGCAACCTGCACAGATTCGAGATGCCCTGAGTCAAGAAGCAGCAAAGCAGCAGCAGAACATAACCAAGCCTTTGCTTTGAAAAGTATCTCTGTCCTTGTATTTCAGTTTCACAATTAGACAAAAAAACTTCTTGTTTGTATATTACATAAAAATAATCCAGAAAAAGACACTGAATTTTGTAGGTGAAACTGGACAAGCTAAAAAAAAAAAAACATTATCTCAAGAGACTAGTCATAAATCCATCACAGAGTCTTATCAACAGGTAAATTTAGCAGGTATCTATTTTCTGTATGTATTGCGTTCATATCAGTGTTAAGATTCAATTTTGGGAGAAATAACTTGTCTTTTAGGAGGCCTTTCACTGGGTACATTTAAAAAAAGAGAAAAATACCAGAGAACCTGCTTCGCTCTGCTTCCCTTCCAACCAAAAATACAGTAGAATATACTCGGATTTATTTCAGTAACATCTTTTTGTAACATTTTAAAGAAAAACAAACCTCATTGTCAACAGCAATAATCTATTGTTTCGCCATAACCTGTCTGAGTAACTTCCAACCAATATTGTATAGAACATAAAAAAATGGCAGAACATGCTTTGCTGCAAGCTGTGAATGTGCACCTTTGACTCTTGGACTTCACTGTGCTGACAGAGCATCTTCTATAGTTAATGTAGGTCAATAAAGTGCCAACACTCCAGTGCTGTTTCTTCCAGGACGGGTCGACATCCTGTACATGTGAAATCACATGAGTGTTTACTTTAGATGAGTCTCTGCAAATATGCACAGGTCTCCTTCACTCTAGCTGCCAGCTCCAAATAAAAGAGCACCCTCACACACACACACACACACACACACACACACACACACACACACACACACACACACACACACACACACACACACACACACACACACACACACACTGGCAGCACATTTCAGCTCAGCACTGAGGCCCCTGGGCGATAACTCTGCTGTCATAGCAAAAAATAAGAATGGCATGTAAACAGGCTGCTTCTTTCCCAGCAAAACATAGAAACCGTTGCAAAGACACTAGAGAATCAGGAGCCCAAATTTATGTAGAGATATTCTAGGTCTCTTTGTTGGTGTCATAACATTTGATGTTATGTTTATTAAAATGTTTGAAAAAGATGTTTCAGGTCTGCGTGATTTTTAGGAAAACAATATTCAACGAGTGTTTTAGCTGTCCTGCACACACTCAGCATAAGCACAGAAAAGCCCCGTCTATTAAATTCTCTGAAGTTAAACAGGAACTGCAAAGCTCATGAGGAACGGCTGACCTCTGCTGGCAAAGAAACGGTAGTGCATGTAACTCAAGCAACTCAGCTGTGACGGTCGATTTGGGAAATAGTATTTTTACTCTCCCTAGCAGATATGAATTACTCTGATACAAACTCATTAAATTCAAGTGAACTGAAGATGACTCTCTGAGAATCTGGCAAGTTACATTTTGTCACGTTCTGGGTCCAGTACAAAAGACCCAGTATTTTGTACTGGGTCCAAAATACTCCTGAACAAGGGCGGATAGGGGGGGGGGGAGTTATGATAATTCTAATGGCCCCTGACTGACAGGGGGACCCTCCACAATTTATTTATTTATTTTTTGTTAATAGAAATAAAATAAAATAAACAATTCACATTTAAATGGTGAAATTTAAACCATTTAATCTTCAAAAAGTAGCCACAGACTACTGTTTGCCTTCATTTCACTAGCATCTAATGAATTAAGAAAAAAAAACTACAGAGATATTCATATATTTGACGTGTCCCTGAACCATATAGACATCTGAGATTGGTAAAGGGTCCAATAGAACTTTCTGCCAGGAATCAGACCAGGAATTTGCAAAAAAGATATTTGCAAACGAGGTGGAGGAGATTGATTGTTTTCACAGATATCTGTCTCGTAACAAACTGTCATGGCATGATGACAGCTTGAATAAATGTGGAGAAAACATTTTTTTCTATTAAAGTTCTACATTGCAGCTTGAATAAAAGCAGCATGTTTGGAGAAGTCTTCGTGTGTATTTTGTGCGTTGCTTTTGACTCTTGCTCGTGGGGAGAGGCATTTCAGTAAAACTAATAGAAAAAAATTAAGCAACCGACTTGCATACTGTATGTGGACTGTTGGATGTAAAATTCATGAGCAGTGAATATTGTGTTAAGATCAGTATTGGACCAAAGAAAACAAGGCAGGTGCTTCCTGACGCTTTTGGACAGGGCAGATCGACTCAAAAAACACAGTGGACAAGAATACAAGATGTCGTATTTTTAGAGTAAAAATGTTTAAATGGATATTTTCTTCGTCTTTTGCTTGTCAGTGGTTTAGTGCAGGAACACAAATCTTTCTTCCTTGCAATAGTTCCCAGGCCAGAGGAGATAATATTGCTCCTCTGACGCCACCTCATGGAAGAAGCTCGCTTCTGCAACATCCTATACATTCTGACCTGATCAACGTCGAACCACCTAATTGAAATTTGGAATCTCCTTTGACTTGATTAAAAAAAAAAAAAGGAGCTCTAGGTTCATATTACTAACACACATTAAACTCTTTCCACTGAGTTTATCATTCGGTGAATTTCTACCTCCCATATAAAACTCTGCTTGAAGCAAAACTATCATTGAGTGTGAAAATAGGATTCACACTTGGAGCTGTTAATTGTGTTTCACTTGGCTGAAAGTCAATTAATTGGTAGGGTTTATATCAGATAATATATAACCTACCAGTTTTTTAAAGTTAAAATACACAGAATTAGAAATGACATTTCATTACATGGACATCTGAGGATGTAGACAAACAGAATTTTTTGGTACCCATCTGGACACAAGGCTTCAGCCTTTTACCTCAGTTATGTGCAGCTGCATCCACACTCTAAGAAATAATTCTGTAAGTTCACAGTGTCTGGACCGCAGTTTATTCTGGTCTACTATAACAGTAGATTACTGTTAAAGTAAAAACAGTAGCTGAACTGAATCTACAGCAACATACTGGTGTCATTATCATGTAAGTTTGGTTTCACAACTCTGTTTACTTTATCAGTAATCAACGTTTTATTGTACAATCTCAGCTATACAGCAGTACTAAAATTGGCGCAGTTTTAAAATGCATTATCATTATGTCACTTCAGAGAAGAGGACAAGAAAAAGTTTTTTCCATATACATTTATGCAAAAAAAATTGTCAGAAAACACATTGCTAAGCTTCACAGAATCAGTTAAGAAAACAATAAGACTTTTATGTCAAGAATGAGTGATTGTTGCAAAGTCACTGGAACAAAAATGTAAAAATTAGTTTGTAGTGCCATAAACTGGGTTTAATGTACCAGTTTGTTCAATCTAAGGACTCAAAAATACTTTTAAAGAGAATTATCACATAACTGTGCTGTTTTGGTTTTAGCAACAAAAAGAACAAAACCACCCCCAAAATACTAAATTAAACATGGCAGCAATAACTCTTGAAAGCCAGTAATAGTTTCCATTTTAAATTCCTTTTTAGGACAAGGCAACGTTCAGCATTTATTATTCAAGTTAATCAAAGTGGCACTTACCTTTTTAGATGCAGGTGTGGGCAACGTCGAAAATATAAGAAAAAATATCAGCATGTTTTGGGAACGGAAATATTTCAAAGAAAATAAAAAGACGACTAACCTGAAATGCCACTCTAAGTTCATCAGGTTTTGATTGGGACAGAAACTTGCACATTTACTCTTTGCAGTTTCTTTTGGATCATCTTGCCCGGTCTTTCTGGACACCATCTTTCCATGGCTGGTCTCCATGTCCCTTTCTGCATTAATCCTAACGAAGTGCCTAAACAACACAATCCAGAACACTCTTTCAATTTGAAGGCAGCAGATAAATATAATAAAACAATCATAGAATATCTGAAAAGCTGTGCTATCCAACAATCTATCCCAGGGGCAGAGCGCATGGGAAAATCTGAGGAGATGGTCAGATACTAGTTGAAATTTGGAATCTCAAGATTAATTTCACTCGCACACATTTAAACTATTTACAAGGAGTTTATCATTTGGTGAAATTCTACAACTGTGTTCTCTACTTTAAGCAAAACTGTCAGTGAAGAATTTATCTCAGAATAAATTGATATTCAGACTAAGAGTTTTTAAGTGTGTTTCACCTGGCTGCATTTACTCAGAAAATAATAATATCATTCTTTTTTAAGTTAAAAATACACAATCAGAAATTACTTTTGATCATTGACTGGACATCTGTGGACATAGACAACCTTTGGTACCCATCTGGACACAAGGCTTCAGCCTTTTTACCCCGTTTAGGCAATACGAGAAAGGAGGACTGCTTGTTAGTTCCACGACAAGAAAGCTAGGATTAAGAAAATCCACTGTTATCTGGTGATGTCATAAATGATCCCATAAAAATATTAACATCTGAGATACGTAAAGGGTCCAATAGAACTTTCTTCTGGGAATCAGAAGAAAGTAAGTGTAAAATCACAATTAAGGGAAACAAGGGCTTGAAATGTCAGTCAGTATGTGAGTGATGTGGAGATATTTAACCGACTGTAATGAAGCAATGAGGTGAAATTGCTCTAGTTTTTCAATTGACAGCAATATCAAATTTCAGTGATTTTATAAAGTAAAGCAGTCGCTCGATAATTTCAGCTTCTCTTCCTCCTCTCCTGTTTGCATAGTCATCGTCTGCTGGATGACGTGGACCCGTTTAATAACTTAGCATGTCAAATTGACAGTCAAAAATTTTTCTTTCTGAGATCCCTTTTATTTTCGCTGTTGTTTTTAATTGGATGCTATGCTTCTTCCTCCTGAGTTTTCTTCTTTATTTTAGGCACGCCTTTCCAAATGAAGTCACGTGCAGTTTAACCTTTATTTACTGGACCTCACGAGGGGGTCGCTCATTGCGAAACAATACAGAAGAGTCAAGTTGCTGTTGAGCCAACACTGTTGCATTTATCAAAAAGAAGGTAAGAAGTTATATATATATATATAGATATATATATATATGTATATATAGATATATATGTATATATATATAGATATATATATATATAACTTTTTTCAGTTTCAACCTCTTGTTCTGAATTATAACCTGCAGGTGCTACATTTGTCAAGAGTTACATAGTTTTTAATATAGGCTAGATTAATATTGATCTGAGTGAATTTTAGCCCTGTTTTCTCAAAATCAAGCAAAAATTGGTGTCAAACGTTTGTGCTGTTTGTGCGGCAAAAGATTTTGTTTGCGACGCTATGATTTTAAAATTAATCAAAGTTTCCAGAGGTCATCGAAGTCAACCATCCTCCAAATACCACCACCACCTATTTACAAAAGATTGGTGTCAATCGACTGGGCTCGGTTCGTGCTACTTTTATTTTGGTTTTGGTGTACAAATTTAATTTCCCTTTGGGATTAATAAATTATTTTTGAATTTGATTAGAATTTTTGAACATGAGTATATTTTGACGTAAATGCATAAACGTAAATGGTCACTATCATCATGCCTTTACAAGAATGAAACTTCTCAAACCCATACTGCACACACACGGAGTGACAACTCAAAAGACATATATTTTTGAAGTGTACGTCTTTGAAGCTAAAATAGTGCTATGTAGTTCTGGAGTTTCACACAGACTGGCACAAAACTGTAACTCTGACAAAACGTTGACCAGAGCTTCAGTTTCTCACTTCTTCAGTGCGTGTCTGTTCTTCAAAGAGACGTGCAGCTTGCAGGGCTGCGAAATCACCATCATTCTGATCCAAAAGTGGGTGCTTGTGTTCCTGGACCGGCTCGGGATTAAAATCATAAATATTCTCCTCCAGACTGAGCAGCTCTCTATAGCAGACAGCATGTCCACCAGATTATGGCATTAATAAATAACACCTGCACTAATAAATAAATAAATAATTTAGAAATTGTGCTGTGAACCAATTCTTGACAGTATTATAACCAACAACAAAACAGATAAGCACACATGCGGGAATCGTGTGTGTTTGATTCCCGTTAGATCAACAAAGACAGATCAGTATCTTTATTGATACAATTATATCAATAAAGATACTCCAGGCACAGAAATGGATAGGGGCAATGTTTGTTGACGTGCAACCTGTGGGAGCACCTCAAATTGCTGACCAATTTGTGTGTTGGTGTATAAATGTGTGAGAGCAGGCACGTGCAGGGGGGGTCAGAGGATGTTTAGGGCAGGGCCGTGCAGAGACCACTAAAGGGGCAGGTGCTCAAAAAAAAAAAAAAAAAGGACACATCTAATCGCATTTTAGGACAGAATATTAACAAAGTCACACAGCTTTCAGGGTTTAATTAACAATGATAAATTACAAAATTACAATCAAAGAACATCTGCTGTACTTTTTGTACATCTGCCTGGGTTCCTGTACTTGCAGTGGAGATGAAGACGGTCCATTCAGAAAAACAGAGCTGCATCAAACTTCAACATGGAACTGCAGAAAAAAAAACAAAAACAAAAGCAAAAATTTAATTAATGCATGTCACTATGAGAAAGACTACTCTTAACATAATAAAAGCATAATAGCTGCCTTGTAATATTAAATGTGTTCACTACCAAAAACTGCAGGTTGATGATGGCCAGAACCTTTAGTTTTTTTGTTCTTACCTGCGGTACTCGTTCTGACCCAGTTGGTCAACAATCCACTACCTTTCGCTGCTTCTAGCAGATCCTATCATTATCATTTGTACTATCTGGCCGGGATTGTGGTTTAGTTCTCGTGCTATACCTGCCATGCGTTTCTGCGGCGTTGTTTTGTTGGTGTGGCATTGGCAGTTGAAGCTGGAGATTGTTGCGGCGTGTGGCTTCCATCTAGTCCTCACTTGTTGGTCCGCTCCCTCTCTGGGTAGCTGTGCTTCCACTCCTGGGTAAGCTACCTGCCATTTATTTTATTTATTTTACTTGAATTCACAGTTAGTGTGTTTTCTGTTTTAGGCACATGATTGTTGTGGGCATTGCAGCACTTTGGATGTTCTGCTGTCTTGTCATGTCAGTGTTTGTTTGAGCAGTTCTGAACGAAACTTGTTGCTGTGGATAGGCGGGGCATGACTCCTTCGGTCCTATTGAAAGGACTCTGAAATTGGACTTCGACAATTATTCCACTGTTTGAAGTGTTTGTTTGCTTACAGTCTGTGCTTGTTCTATTATTGAAGTTACTCATTTGTTTTTCTTTTGTTTTGGTTATTTTGTTTTCTTTTGCATGGCATGTTTTGTTGGTTGATTTATTTTTGGGAATGATTTAAATTGTCTCATTTCACAGAACCCCTTTCCCTTCTAGGGACCAAGTAGAATGCCTGAAATTGTGTTTTAAAAGAGAAGTGTTTTAAAGAAATTGTTTAAATATTGTATATTAATCAGTGTTCTGGTGCGTTCTGTGAGAAAAAAAAAGAAACCCTGCCCCTCGGCCAGGTCACATTTGTTTAAACACAGTTAAACTGTGTTTATACTGTCTGTAAATACGGAAACTGTATTTAAACACAGTTTCTGTGCTTAAACAAACAGTATTTAAACACAATTTCTTTGTTTAAACACAGTTAAACTGTGTTTAACTGTGTTTAAACACAGTTAAACACAGTCTTTGCCTTAATATCCCAGTCTTATAATTAAAAATCAGTCTGCAGCCAAGTTGTTGTAAAGGTTAAATAAATATTATTAGGGCTTAATTAGTAAAATGGCAGAAAATTTGCTTATTTCATAACTTCATAACCTTTGACCTTCTCTCCTCTGGTCTGTTTACCAGCTACAGCCTCAAAACAACTCAGTCCTCCAGGACTGTTAGCAGAAACAGAAACTTTATACCTGTTGGGGAAAATAGACTACATTTGCTTTGCATTGTCTCCGCATGATGGGAATAATATAGTAGGATCCAATTAGATTCTTGATTAATACGGGTTGTTGCTGTGTTGCTGTACGCTGTTCAATGTGCCCTTTTTTAACTTTGAGCCCCTGTCCCTCCAAAGGCCTCTGCACGGTCCTGCTACCCTGAAGCAATGGATCTTAGGCCCTTTCCTGAACGTGGGCAGAATGTCTGGCAAGGTGGAGGCCCTCCTGCAGTCTTTGTTCAAAAAGAACAAATTGGTGAGTGGTGTGCACAATGTTTTATAATGTGAATATAGCATGGATGTTTAGCTGCAGTCCTCAAGAGCCAGTCTACTACCAGTTTTAGATGTGTCTCTGCTCCAACACAGCTGAATCAAATGATTCGACTTCCTCCTTACCATGTCAAAGTGCTGCAGAGGCCTGCAAATTAACCATCATTTAATTCAAGTGTCATGAACCAAGGGAAGAACTAACCTATGCAGGATTCAGGCCCTTGAGGACTGACTTGAATAGGGAATGTTTTGCAATAGTCTGCAGAAGGTATGATTACACCACTGGTAGTATGGGAAGGAGAATTATACTTTGTAACCATTAGTATAATTCTGCTAATAGTATTAGTTAAAGTAGATATGTTGAGGAAGACACGTATGTCATCTTGGTAACCATTTGTTAGGACTTTCTTCCCACCTGAAGCATTATTTATCCAAAATACAATAGTGCATTAGTCATATTATCATCCATTCTCTATACCCGCTTGTCCTTGCAGGGTCACAAGTGGGATGTTGTCTATCTCTCCAGCAGTTATTGGCGTGAATAACAGTGCTAAGACCTTCCGCCTGGCTCTAATTGGCTTGGCGGTCAGATCACTACAAAGTGATTTGACTGGAAGTGGTGTTTTCTACAGATGGCAGTAGGACCACTGGGAGCTGGCGGAGGAGCTTGATTATTTTTCTTTTCACAGATTATCTGTCTCATATTATAATGTCACGGCATAGTGACAGCTTTAACAAATATGTTAAAAACAGTTATCGATTGCAGCTTTATTGAGCTTCATGCTCTATATGTGAAGTAGTAGAAAGTGTTATTGTATTTTATGCTGAAAACCTATTATCTGCAGCCAGCAATATAGCAGTACAAAAGGCTATGGATATGTTCCTCATATGAGGAATGTAATTAGAAAAAATAGTACCAGCCTTGATTACCCTTGAACTCTCCGCCGGAGTCCTGACAGAGTAATTCTCCAAAATTTCTCCAGTTTTCTGCAATTTTTGGAGAAGAAAAAAAAAATCACTATTTGTATTGTCAATTTCTTTTGCCCTTTGCCCTCTCTTCTCTAACCTTTCTAAATCTTTCCCTTTCAGTGATTGTGGTGGAGAAACCAAGTGACCCCGTAGAAATGAGCTGTCTGAAGAGATTCTTTTGCTGCTGCTGCCTTTGGCTGTGTTCTGCATTGGTTGAGCCTTAATCTCCCATAAACCAAAAACTTCATGTAGCCTTGATCTGCCTTTAAACCAGGCTCTGTTCCCAATCTGGTGAAGAATAAATACCATTTGTCAGTGGATACCATTTTTGTTTTGAGAGTTTTTATTAAAATAATCTATTGCTATAATTATTAGCATTGTCATTTATAATTATTTGGTGGACTGCAGTATTATTCATGAATGTAAGTGGAGTGTGCAAGAAGCACACTAGCTTTAGAAACATTGATCTGTTGAACTTTTATTCTGGCCAAACTTAATCTGGTAAAAATATGTCATGCAGCCAGCGGTACAAAATCATCAAAAACAAATTAATCTTTTATTGTGCGTGTCTCACACTGAGAATATGTAGAAAAATCAAATCTTTAATTTGAGGCCAGTGAGTAAAAAATGAAGAGCTAAGAACTGCTCCTCCAACTGTAGAAGGTTCACATTAGAGATCTTCAAAGGAGCGATTGCGACCTCTGGTGGAATCACTGAGACACTGCAAGGTGATATCGAGAATTCAGATTAATTACACATTTTTTGTACAAAGTTCTGTTATGTCTTCAAATACACATTGACATGAATTCAACAAATAAAAGGTTGGTAAAAGAAGGCATACAACCATACATTTCAGAAATCCACAAATTCAGCCAGTGAGCAAAAATTGGTTCAGGGTTCCCATTAGGAAAAATGTTGGTGGCTCCTGTTCTATACTATGCAAAATAAGAGTTCGTCTATTAAACTGACTGAAGATGAAAACATAAACTAAAAACAGGAGCATGCATGTTTTTTAATGTCTTTGTGACCTACTGCTTTCTTATTTATGCTTTATTATTTTGTTGAACATCATCTCAAGTTTTGTGTACTTTTCTGTCAAGCTTGACTTAAAAATTGAGCCATGACAATTTAGGGCGATATTGATACTTCTGCTAATATTTTATTCATATTTTATTTGATTACCTAATTGTCAGATCAAGTCATAGATTACCCGACTAAAATAATTATTTGCAACAGCCCTAATTACACAAATGGCATATGGAGCCCTGGAGTCCTCTTCTGGAGAGCATCTTGATCATCAGTTCCTGTCAACCACAATGAGAAGAGTTTTGGTTCTGAGCAATGAGGACATTTTGTGGGTTACAGAACAGATCTTAGTTGGGTTTTAATGAAAATATGTCGAAAGCTAATGCTAAACGGTTGTTTTAAATTTACCAATGTCCAACCAAAGATGGTTAATTGGTGACTTTGTTAGCTCTAGTATTTTTGTTGTTTATTATATATAAATATACATACATATATTATCATACATATAACTATCTTTCCTATATAGATGTAGGAAAGATTTTTTTTTACATCTATGTATTCAGTTTGTGTCAAAAATACTAATGGAGGAATGATGCCAAATTTCTATTACCCTTATATTTAAATCTACAGAGGCAAAAGCAAGAAAGTGAGCTTCTACTGATTAACACAAATTAGTCCGTCATCTCAGCTTTTTCCTGCCCTGGCGTTTGCTTCGTCATCCACAGGATGTTGAGGATGCGGGTCTGTTTAATCTTTCATCGAGTCAAATGATCAGGAGTCACAGTTTCCCGACGTAGCTTTGATCACCGTCCTCGTTTCTGATTGGACGCTGTGACCAGCGGCCGCGTCAACCGCCAATCATGTACTTTTTCTCCCCAGAGCCTTTTTTTTTTTTTTGCTGTTGTTGTTAGACACGCCCTCTACATGACGTCACGTCCAGCTACGCGCTGGTCTTCGGAAGGGGAGGAGGTGAGGGGTGGGGGGTCAGTCATTGCGGTAAAAATAGTGAAGAAAACAGCACCGAAGAGTGAGTTTGCTGCTAAGCTAACGTCACTGCGTTCACAGGAATACCGGAGCCGTTTTGTTTCAAGGTAAGCGGTTCGTAGTTTCCGTTAAGTCCAGGACTTTTGTGTTTAGGAGCCTTTTCTGTGTGAACCTCTGGTTGTGGCCTGGATGTTACGCATGTCTAATATCGACTTTAATAGTGGATGCGGGGCTTAAATGTGATTATTAGCTAGCAATACAAACAAAGCGGAGACATTAGATAAACGCATTTTTATTAATTCCCAGGCAAATTTGTTGCTAAGCAGCTAAACGGAATATCATATGTCATGGTTTCGTTTGTCTTAAATGTTTTATTAGTTGCTTACAAATGGCGAAATGTGCTCACCAAAATATTTGTGGCGATGCCTCCTAATGAGCCCCAAAGGGGGGTCATGAAATGCTGCTCACCTTGTGGCTTCATGGCCCTGGAGGCTGGGAGGAGACAACAAGGGCTGCTAAGTTACAGCTCCTGCTCTCTTTCATGGAAACCTCTGACTTTGTTGCGAAAGAAAACTGCCTTAGCTTTTACCTGAAACTGATGGACCTGGGTTCATCAGTTTCAGTGATGACAGTGTTGGCTATATTTAACTGGAGCTGACTGGGCCTTTCCCAGGCGGCTTCATAGACCCCCACCCCTCCCAACCCCCAGATGAACTTTCCTCCCTGTGTGTATGTGAGTTTTTGTGATCCTGTCACCAAGATCCTGTTGTGAAGACATGGTTCGAACCATAACACACACACACACACACACACACACACACACACACACACACACACACACACACACACACACACACACATCTGCTGTTCAGACTGGAAAAAAACATAAAACAGGTGACACCCATGCAAATGAAGAAGAGACCAGTCATGCAGATTAGGTACGCAAACGCAAAGTCGTTTCTTTGCTTCAGTCAAGAGTGCTGATTGAACTCAAACATTTTTATTATTTCACCAAATTTACTTATTTATTTTATTTGACCCTTTTGTAACCAGGAAAGTCCCACTGAGATGAAAAACTCCTTAATCTTTCTTTACAGAGTACTGGCCAAGAGGCAGCAAAGGTTATAAATCAATTACAAATGGTGACACTATTAAAACGTCATACAATTAATTATTAAAACTAGTCACAAATTGAAGAAGTCATCTCTAGTGCTCTCAGTCTGGACTTAAGTAGGCTCAATCAAATAAATACTGTTAATTTTTAGTGCATTTGCAACATATTCTTGACTTGAAACATTTTTATGTAAGTCACAAACAGTGGGCCAGAAAACAAACTTCAGTGTTGGCATAGATCCTCATTGGTGTCAGATATTAGGGCTTTCTTTTGAATGAAGCTCCACATCAGTGTTTAACCTGTAATCTGACACCAGAAGACGATCCGTGTTTTTTTTTTTTCTTTTGTTGTTGTTTTCTGCATTCGACTTGTTGGCATAGCAAAAGCAGGAGTGTACCGGTAAAAGTTTATGAACCAGTATGGACTAGGTCTTTTGTCCCGGTTTTGTGTGATACTGTCACCCTGGTGTGAAAAATAAATAATCAGAGAATTTCTTTGGATACAGTTTGAGGTTTTTCCAGCAACACTTTGGTGCTGAAATGTTGAAACTAGACTTGTGCTTGTTACTGGGATCAAAGAGCACTAGTATGGAGGAAGATCCCTGTCAAAAAGATGTGTGTGTGTGGATCTGACGTTCATATTTATATTAGTATTTCAATAAATGCAGACAATGTTGATCAGGATGAGACTTTTATTGATTTTATTAATTGCCTCTTTAGTGCATAAATCTGCTCATCACTAATAGTTCTCAGTCATGCGGGTTTGATTTTTAGTTTTGCTTTTTTATGAACCTGACAAGAAATCGATTCATGTATCTATGGAAAACCTTGTTTATCATGATGCTATAATATGTATACTTGTATAGTCTTATATAGTGTTGCGGCAGTAAAGACATGGTAGAAGACAACACCTTCATTCCTCCCTGTAAAAAGTTACAATTATTTGCTTAACCATCACTATTAGACTGGCAAGAAGTTTTTGAAGTTGGAAGTTGTTAAACTACTAAAATGCAGCTATTTTTGGCATCAATGTAAGGGAAAGAAGAGTAAGAAATTTTTAGTAACAAAACTGTATTTCATGCAACACATTGAGACGTTGCATAGCTTTTCCAGGCTGAAGAAGAGAGCGAGATTTTCAGCACATAATAATAGAAGGGCTAAATGTATCGCAGAATAGTTTCATATAAAAAGTCCTATTTGAGTTTCCAACTTGACTCAAAACTGCTGTTTGTAAAACCTTATAGTACACTATTCTCACACAAAGGTTTGAAAACCTCTTGGTTTCTAATATATATATCCTCATGGACAGAAAGGCCAGAGAGAATATTTTGTATGCTCTTCTTACACCTTTTTATATCAGCTTTATAGAGAAATATGAATCGACTACAATCAGAGATTGGTAATCAACTCCAAATTTCTGGTTGTGTACCTCCAATCAATGACAAAATGACAATTTACAAACATTCTAAGCATTATTAGTGTAACAGAGATGATTTACTTATTTTTGGATCAATAAAGGACGTCTAATAACTTTTAAAATGTTTGTTTTTATGTCTTTTACCTCTTATAAACACCATAGCTACTTCAAACATTGATTGTAAATGCCACCCTGTTTTCCATTACATCAGTTCATGTTTCGCAGATGAACCGTGTTTAAGAGATAAGCATGTATTGTACCAATCACCTTGGGATATTTCCCAACAGCCACAATAAAACAAGTTGCTGATAATGCTAAGAAGTAATTAGAAATTGTACTTTGAGCTAAATATTAGCAATGTTAATTTTTCCAGAGCAGAAAACAAATACACACACACACACACACACACACACACACACACACACACACACACACACACACACGCACACGCACCCCCACCCCCCCCCACACACAAATAAGGGTTTTCTTTCTGTATCTTTATTTCTGTAACTCCTGACACAGAAAGTAGGTGGATAAGATAACCAGGAGGTGTTTACAGTGTACATACAACGTGACAAAGAAATCCCAGGAGGAGAGTCAGAGATTCGGATTTCCATCTACCCCCGTTTTTTCCATTGTTATTGTTGTACGTAAATGTGGCGACGGACATCATGGTGGCTTGTGATGGGCCTCGGCTCTATTTCATCACACAGCTGGTTATAGCTAACCATTAGCCGTTAGCTATAAAAATCCACTTGCCTTCAACCTTTGTTCCACTCGAACAAAGGTCTTTCTTTCAAGTGGAACGAAAAAGCTCCAGGTGTTTATTGAACTCACTAAGTAACGCTTAAACATTAAAAACCTCTACCAGTTTATGAGTTTTCTCCCTCATTTGCACAACGTTTCACACAGCCCTCGAAATGCAAAATGTGTGATCGAGTTGGGCTTCTCACGTTTGTGTGTGAACAAAGAGGGAAAATGAGGTGTGACAGTGCAGCCGGCGAAGGCCGTCTATGGTCACTTTCTTTTTTTTTTTCTTTTTTTTTTTAAAGTGTCTTCTGTTCCCTATGGTTCATTTCAGCAGCCTCATTTTCCACGCTGAAGTCTTTGTGAAGCTTAAGCTAATGGTACTTATCTCTGGTGGAGTTGCGATTGACCAGTGAGCTGTGAGACGCCTTCTGCAGTCATGAAAACAGTCTGCAGGGGATTGTCTCTGCTGCGTGTGGCTGAGTTTTCATTCTGTGCAGGAGGAAACTGGTCAGAGAAAAGGTAGTCGGTGATCATAATGTGTACTTTTTCTGTGCTGGGATACGGTTTCATCATTTTGTCCCTTCCTGAGAATGGTAAGATGTTTTATCTGGGCTCAGGAGAAATCATTACCTAATGTGTCTGTGGAGGTTACCTAACCATCCTACAGGAAGAAAGGGCAACGGAGACAGCTGATACTCGTGTTTGCTTTACTCCCATTGTTTACAGCAGAATGTAGGTCTAGGTGGAATCATGTCTCTCGAGTCTTGCATCAGAATGCTTGAAGTTATGACAGACTTTTTAAACAGTTTTAATAAATCACAAGCGTAGTTGCAAAAACTAATATCTAGTAGTTTTGTGATGTATATTAATCGCTGACTATTTGGTTCATTACAACGATAAGTGGTATTTTATTGGGATTTGATGCGACAGGTGTCGAAAATACAACTTTGGCGTATTTACTGGGAAGAATGAACTGATAATGAAGGTGTTTTTCTTATGAAACTGACAACAGAAGTTTCAGAGGAGATCTCTGGACCTTATCAAAACCGAAACGCTTTTGAACTGAGTTTGATTTAGGGGAAGAAATACAAATTAATCAGAGTGGGAGAAACAAAGAGAAACTCCCTGCAAGGGAGAGATGCGTGCAAGGAGTATTGTAAGTTTCACTCTCTCTAGCCTGATCTGATTTTTCAAAATTAATATCTAAAGACAAATGCACATTTTTTCTGATTGACTCATTGTTTCTCTAATTATCAAAAGAATTTTCCTCAACACAGACCAGCACTAAGTTGTGTTTACTTGTGAAGTGGAAGAAAACTAATTCTGTGCAGGTAGAGACTGAAATTTTGGCCCATTCTTCTTTGCCAAATAGCTCAATCACAGTCTGATTGGCTGGATATTCACTGGGCAGGTACAACAAAATGTTAAGTCTTGCCACAAATTTGTAATTGGATTTGGGTCTTGACTTTGACGGGGCTCTTTTAACCTCGCATGTTTGGGGTCGTTGTGCTGCTGGAATGTGAGCGAGACAGACCGCACCGAGGACATATCCTTTACAACAGTAATCTGTTGTGCGTTATGTCTGAGCCGTCTTTAAATGCAACGTGAGCGTTCACATGCTCACCGTTTTTCACCTGTGCGTCACCAGCAAGTGGAGGTGACGCAAAGAAGGATTTTAGATCAAATCAAGAAAATTGTAGACAACCTTTAGCATCACATTTCAAACATTTACTTACTTGTATCATTTTCCTTCCAGTTTACAATTACGGTCAAGCATAGGTCAACTTATGACGTAGGATGCCAAACAGACACCAGGTTTTGTGGTTGTAATGTTTATTAAATGTGGTCTAAAAAGTTTGTTTGTCTTATTTCTTAAAAAGTGACTCTTCGGCCCAGAGATGAATTTCGAGCAGCCGCCTCCGTACCCAGGCAGTGGACCTTCTGCTCCAGGCTACCCAGGCCAGGGCCCACCTCCCCAGGGCTACCCACCCCAGGGTTATCCTCCACAGGGATACCCAGTAAACATGGACCAGCCCAACCCAGCCTACCCTAACTACCCCGCTGGACCAATGGGTCCTGGAGGTCCCTATCCTGGCCCAGGACAGCCCCCATTCCAGGGATATCCAGGCCAGCCACAGTATGCCTGGCAGGGTGGACCCGCTCCTGGACCCATGTATGGGGAAGCCCCCAAAAATACGGGTGAGTGGTGTGCAAAAACCTCTATAGTGTATATGGCATGTATTGTAATAGTCAACAGAAGATAATTGATACCATTGATGATATAGGAAGCACGGTGCTGGACCAGCATGTTAAAGGCTCTGTGATGATTGTTCTAGAGAAAGTAAAGTGGACACAAACAAAATGTATAAATCATATGAATAATAGAGGCTATTAAATATTACCAGCCTTTCATTTTTCTTGCATGATTTTACTCCAATTGCATTCCTGCAGTACGTTTCAGTCAGGAACATTAGCTTTTTGTCTCTAGTGTGATTAAAGGGCATGTTTGGGCCTTTTTACACGTTTGTTGCACTTTCTTGGGCAAATGGGACATTTTCATTAAGCTGCCGCTGTTTCCCTTTAGCAATCCACAGAACAGGCTGCGCAGCACCACATTAATGAGCGCTGGTGCTGCGGCGCTCTCCGACTCACAACAGCGTTATTAGTTCGAATGGAGCGTTGCACGTGCCATGTCTCATTTTACATATGCTCACCAATATGGCCCAGCGACTGCACCTGTTGCCATTGCAGAGACGTATTAATGGCAGAACGACTGCGATGCCCTCTGGCTCGCCTTTTCTAGTTTTTATGCACGCAGAGAGACAGAAGGCCAAACCTATGTCAAACCACCATACGGCACATGATGACATTCAGCTGGACAAGACACATTTTTTCAATTTTCTTTTAACATCCCAAGTGTTGGATTTATTTAAGCCTCGTCAGTGATTTGAATTTTGTATTTTTCAGATCCTAAATTCTGCCAAAGATAACAATCTTTGAAACATTGCGATTGTGATCAAGAACATGAATTCGTTTCAATTCGTCTGCAGAAAACACAAAATATACAGGGTTGGGTAACTGAAGATGCTAAATTAAATTTTAAAAAGCTAGTTGTACCATTTTTCAGGGCATGGCTCAAACCGTTTCCTGGAGCATTTCATCAATCTTCTGGAGTAAATACAGTTCATTTTCTTTCTTTCTTAAGCTACATTCTTAGTTATTCGAATCACCCATTACAGCTTTTTGCAGTATGTTGAGTTTCTAAACTCATAACTTTGAAACAAGGGCTTACCAATAATCGGCCTGCTGATTGATTTCCTTAATCGGCGGATGGTTACATTGGAACCGATCTCATCTACTTCCACAAAGGTCTGAAAATAATTGATAAATTAATAAGTTAACAATTATCACCCCACTGTTATCAACTTAGCGACTGTATCACAGAATAAGGTCTAATTAAATTGTCCATTGGTCAAAATTAAAATTAGAAAACTAAGGTGCACCCCTATCTGAAACAAGTATGCATAAAATGTTAAAGCCAATAATAAAAATCAGTTCAACAATTCAGATTTAATATGTATTTTTTTCCAAATGATATCTTTACTCTCTGCTAAAGAGTTTAAAAGCTCTTTAAGAATCAGTTTGTTGGTGGATTTTTCTCTAATCCACACATAGTCAAACAGACCCAAATATATACCATATTTTCCGGACTACAAGTTGCATAAGTCAAAAACTTTGTCATGAAAAGTCAAAAGATAAATAAGTCACACCTGTCGTACGACCAGCCAATCCGGAAATTTAAACCGTGCGGCTTAGTCTGGAAAATACGGTACATGAATCCCCACTATTGTCCTTCAGGTCAAACTCACCTTGATTGCGTGATTTTTTTTTTGTAGCCGTCAGCAGGTTCCTGTCATCGTTCTGACTGGACATGGATCGCCGTTCATGGCAGACAGTTTTAGGTTTATCTCAGCCGGTGTGTTTAATTGCTTACACCTGGCTTTTAGACATAGTCCGCTGAATTTTAATAGGCTTGATGTCAGAGCTTCGGGAACGCCATTTCAGGAGCTTAATATTAACCTTCAGCTTAATGTTGAACTCTATTTATTCCTGTAGTCTCACTTCATTAAATTTAGTCTGTCGCAGAAGGGCAAAGCATTGTTAAACAATGGAACAAATTGTTTCATTTAGCTTGTTTGGAGCTCCAATATGTCTCAGTTTTCATAAATGTAAAACAGAAAAACAAAACAAAAATCTCAGAGGTACATTTAATTATACATTTGATGGATTGTCTATTAATAACAGTTTCAGCTCCACCAAAACGTTTAAACTGGTCACAGTTCAGGTAGCTGGGGAGAATGAAGGTAAGTTGATTCATTAGTAGTTCCCCGGTGTTAGAACAATATGTGAAGTTCAACGTAAAATATCCCAAAGAAAACATCATTAACACCGAGTCGTTTTGTAAAAGGTAGTGGGTGTGTGACTGGTTGATCAGGCTTCTCGCTGTGAGACTTTCAGACCAAGACAAGAGTTGTTAAATATCGGCCCGGCACTAACCAGATCAGTGCGCCGTCGTCAGAGCCGCTTTCCGTTTGCGGTCTGACCTGCGATGGATCAGGCTGTTAAAGGCTGGATGACTGTTTGGCTCTACATCAATGATTAATCACACAAACAAGGAACGGGAGATGGATTTACTCAGCACCTGTGTTGGATTTTTTATTTTTTTCGTTGTGAACATCTGCTAAACTTCCTACATGTCTCATGCTGTCTGTCCTCTGACGTTTCTGATTAAAACCTGTTGCCGAGCGGAGACGGAGAGCCTCTGCTGCACACGTGGAGTGAAGGAAAGTTTTACTGCTTTCTGCTGAAAACTCATTATATGCGTCCAGCGGTACAAGCAGTACTCTGCTCCTGCTCGATCTCAGCTGCTATGGCATTGCCATGGAGACGAGCGTCCTTTGAGGAATGTAATTAAAGGAAATCATATCTGCCTTGGTTACCCTTGGTTACCGCTGCCAGAGTCCTGACAGAGTCATTCTCGAAAATATCCCTCTGTTTTCTGCTACTTTTTGGGAGGAATGCAAACAAATCACTTGTTGCATTTTGCCCTCCCTTATCGTCTCTGACCTTCCGTCTTTCCCTCCCAGTGTATGTGGTGGAGGACAGGAGAAGGGACGACACAGCGGACACCTGCCTGACGGCCTGCTGGACGGCGCTGTGCTGCTGCTGTCTCTGGGACATGCTGACATAACGTCCTCCTTCATTTGCTCAGCCTCATTAGTCTCCTGTAAGCCCCAAACCTCCTCAACCTTTCCCCCTTATCTTCTTCTTCTTCTGCCTTAAAACCTGGCTCCGTCTCGCCTCTTCCTCCCTCCCTCCCCTCGTCGTCTCTGCTCTTCCTCCTCTTTCTCAATAAACAAAAGCTCCGGTTTCTTCGGGAAGTCTCTCCGCTCAATGTGAAGTCCTCGGCTCTGGTCCACCTGTCCACAAGTTGTCTTGTAGCGGTCTGCAACGGAGCTTCTTAACACCAACATGAATCTGAGGCGTTTCTTTCTTTTATAAATTGCACACCGACACTCAGTAAGATGCACATTATACGTGCTTGTTCCTCCAGTGTACACGGATCTCAGGCTTATCTAGTATGAAGTTCTTTGGCACTTTACAATGATTACCTCTGCAAGAAACAAATCCTGTCTGCCTGCCTGCTTGCCTGTTGAACCCTGACCCCTTCGTCACCACTCTTCAGCTACATTAGCAAACAAAGGACTACGCTCCCATCAGGGGGCTCCGTTCCCAAATTTCACCCCGACCCCGGCTGCTAATGAGCTACAGGAGGGTTGATGTTTAGAAACTTGAAATATATCCGTTTTATTTTCACACTTTCACTTTTTTCTTCCCTGTTTTTTTTTTTTTTTTTTTGTGAAAATAAATGAAATGCATTTTTAAACAAAGGTAATCTTTTGTTCTTTGACTATTAACTTTTTAATGGCTGCAATGTAATGTTGTGCTTTTATTATTATAAAAAATGATTCTAATATTATTTATAATTTGGACCTTGGAAATATATCTGGAAACATCGTAAAAAAAATAACAACTGCACTTACTCAACTGAAGAAACCCTATTAGTCTGTGGATGCCTTTTTTTGTTTGTTTTTTGCTTCGAATGAGTCTTTCATTAAAATTTATTGCTATAATTAAAGACTTTGTCGTTTCCAATTATTGGGTGGATTCCAGTCATGTGTGTGGATGTAAGTGGAGTGTGCAAGAAGCAAGCTGGGCAGAGACTGCAGATCAATACTGGCTGTAGGAACCTGGAAATGTTGACGTGTTCGGTGTGCTTCCTGGTCACACTTCATACGTCTGGTGAAAACAAAAAATGTCAAATTATTTCACTGTAGATGCATTAGGCATCTAGAAAAATCAAATCTTTAATTTGAGGGTTCAGGTTTGGACTGATGACTTAAATTGCCACATTCCTGTGTAGAGTTGGCCAGTCATCATAACTCATTTTCTTTAGGATTAGCCCAATGGCCTTTTGCAGCACAAATAATACAGCAATAATAATAATAATCTGAAGCATTGCGACTCTTGCTAGAGTAAACTTTGCTGAATCAACGTTTTATCTAAAAACGCCAGATACAGACACACGTTTACAATTTATGGAAGCAAAACTTGTCTGTACACCAGCTTCATTGTATTAACGTGATTTTTTTTCTGCTGGACCTGTTGGAGAACCAGTGAAGATACAGTGAACAGCACATGTTGTGACTAGAAGCATTTCTCCTGGTTTTAGCAAATGCACGCTTCCCACTAGACACATTTATTTAATACGTTTTGTTTTGGAAAAGTGTTTCTTCCTAAATTTCCTTTATAGTTTGATCAATTTGTACTTTTTTTGTTTCTGAAATATCAGACTTTGCACGTAATCCATAATTTTTAAATGTTAGAGGTTATGATCAGTTACTCATTATTTTAGTACTTTTTTTTTTTAAATTCACACTTAAGTACTTTCTTGGACTTTTTAGCAACCTCTGACTTTTACTAGAGTAAAAATATGTTTGCGCAGAGCTAAGCTTACTTGCGTATAAATCTTTTGTGCTCTACCCACCTCTGTTGGTAGCGGTGCGGCATTGCAGCAAAAAGGTCCCGAGTTCAAATCCCAACCTGAATGGCCCATTCAAAGGCCACACATAAGCACAGTTGTAAATCTGTAGCAAGAATCAAAGCTGATTTTCACCAACAGTCTCACATTTATTTATAAAGAATATTGAAACCAGTACTTATGCACCAAACGTGTGTTGTTCCATCCACATGGTTCCTGAGAACAGAATTCGGGAGCTACTGTTTGCTAGAACACATTCTCCTTGTTTTAAAGGAGCACTTATGGATGTTTTTTGAGCTTTATATCATATTATAATGTTATTCCATCATCAAAAACATACCTGGAGTGGTGCCGTGCGTGGTGCCGTGCGTTTCAGAGAGAGTAGGACCTTAAAGAGACAGTGGCCCAATTTCATTGTCAAAATCAAATTTCTTTTAGTAAGTGATATTTGATACAAAGCATTTTATAACTGAAGGCAACACAGTTACTTGATTGTGCTGTAAAATGTCGCATAATGCTGCCCCCATCCCCTTTAAGGACAACTGACTCAAAAAATCTATTGCTTCCTCGACTATGATGCATAATTAACAAAGACAGGAAACCCGGCGTTTCAAAGATTGCTTTTGAAGAGCAACTAATGAGAGTGGACCGCTGGTGCCTGAAAGACGATGGCGCTCTGTCCTCCGACACAAGAGATGAGATGAAAGCTCGGTTGAAGTAAACAATTATGTTTTATTGATAAGGTTCTCGAGAAGAGTCTCGTTTCAGTGAACGTATAAGAATCATCTTCTGATAATACTGATTTGGTACATTATGACATCCAGCACGAGTCTCCTCACAGTGAGAGGGATCCATTACTGCTACTGCTGTTGGGATCTAGGACAGAAAGAATCTGCTTCCAAACAACAAACAAACAAACAAACAAACGGAAAATAAAAAGGATAAGAAAAAACAAACTTTGGACCGATATCGTAGATAATGGAGTATCAGAGTGCCACAAAACTCTAGAGTAGTAAGAGCAGCTAAAGGTTTCGCACATTACAAGCCACTTCCTCTTAGAAATATAAAACTTGATATTCTGAACAATATTCTACTGTGCTGCATAAAGGTAAGTCTATACACTGTACATCGAAATATACTTCGAAAAAACAGATTTCACAGTTTTAAAGACTTTATTTAAAGTATAAACTGCTTTTTAAAACACCTCAATACATAAATTACTCTTTTTGCCAGTTGACTGTTGTTTCCCCTGTCAGCAAACCGAAAACAAATACAAAAAACAAACAAAAAAAAAACAACCAAAAACCAAGAAAACATTTATTACATATCTTACAAAACAAAAGAAGCTCGTCCATCGATGTTCGTCTCGATAAGAACTGGTGACTCATTCATGATTGTCATTTAGTACTAAGAATAAATAAATAAAAAAAGAAACAAACCAAATAAATACTAACTCAGCATGTCTGTTGGACTTGGTGAGTGGTGTGTGTGTGTGTGTGTTTGATCGCGCTGTACAGAAGTGCCTTGGTGAAAATCTCACAATTCTACCGCGACTGAAACGTACAAAACTACGGCATCTACGGTATACGCAACATCCTGAAGTTTTTAAGTGTAGTCTGACACATATGTATGGGGGGTGAGGAGGGTGAGTGTGATTCTGCTCCCCACCCGACCCCCGGTTGCAAAATAAACAACGTGGTGCTATGCCACTTTCCACAGATAGCTGTCGTTTTTTTTTTGTTTTTTTTGTAACTTTTTTTGTTTTTCCTCTCTCTCTTTTTGAGTTTATGCTTCAGCTCATCATCAGCTCGGATGTTCATGGATGCCGTTGTCCTGTTGCTTGGCTGATCGGCGGCGGAACTGGACGGGTGGTGGACGGACAATGGGAGGCCTGAGACAGGGAGACGGCTCGCGTTGGCGTCGCTGTTTTGTGATGCATGTCGGGTGATGGCTGCGCTCTGAGGAGGCTCGGTCTCCGCTTTGGTCCCTTTGCCTTCAGGTTCTCTGCTGGCGACGAGACGCGCCGCGATTGGCGGAGGCCAGCGCGGCGCGACCCCCGCCCTTCCCTTCTTCCTGCGTTATCGTGGCTGCTCTCGATGTGACCCAATAAATATGGGCGAAAATATCACTATCTTTTTTAAAAAGGGGAATCTTCTTATTGGGTAAGCAACAGTTATCAGAGTTCTTCAGTGCTTTTTTACATTTTTTTTTTTTTTTTTGTAAGTTGATCAAAGTTTTTTTTTTCCAAAAAACAAAAAATTGACTAAACGTCTGTTTTTGTTGTGTTTTTTTGTTGTTTGTTTTTTGTTTTTTTTGCCTGCGGCAGTAAAATTAACAATATGTTTTTCATTCTTTTTAAAAGTCCCTGCAGCGTTCCGTGAGTAACCCCGTTTGTTGGTTAGTTCTCCGTAGGTTTTGAGAGGAGTAAGGTTAAGGAGGCTGGGTAGGAAAATATTGAAAAAAAAAAAGGGACAAAATTCGGAGATGTCGGGAGAGAAGGGAAGAGTCAGCGGGGTTCGGGTGGCCTGTTACCTCCTGCCCATCTCGTTCTGTCTGAGAAACTGGACGTTGTTGCTGCTGTCGGCGAGTTCTGGATACTGCTCCACCGGCAGCACGTAGTAGCCGTCGTAGCCTTGGACCCGACCCGTCGTTAGAAGCTGCTGCCTCTCCCCTTCAGTCCAGAGGCGACTGCCGCCTTTCCCGTCCCTCGTGCGCTGCTGCTCCTTGGCCCAGGCCCCCGCCAGCGCCCTCTGTCGGGCCAGCTCCAGCAGTCTTACCTTCTCTTCGTCCACCACGTCCACAGAGAGCCCGTAGCGGATGCTCAGCACCAGCGACGGGACGGCGAACTCCACGGTCACGCCTCTCCTCGACCGGCCGCTCACCGTCACGTTGATGCCGCTCTCCAGAGACTTCCGCCCGTTCGTGAGCCCCAGGGCCAAAAGGTCGCTGTCGGCGGACCCCACTTTCACAAAGTAGTGGCAGTCCTTCCCGTCCTGAGTGTAGTGAGTGCCCTCCAGGTACTGGGCGCCGTTGAGCACCAGGGCTATTTTGCGGCTGTCGTCGCTGGCCAGCGGCGACACGCCGGCCACAACGCGGCCCTCCTTAAGCGCCAGCATCACTCCGCGGCCGATGATGGGGGTGCTGGTGCCGAACCAGTGGCCGGGCTTGTCTTTACGTCTGCGGCGCTCTTTGTTGAGAAGACGGCCCTCGAGGGCCATGAAGGCCTGGTTGTGGCGCTCCGCCGCCTGCTGCACGCCAGTGATGAGCTAAATGACCAGGAAACAAAAACGGTTACTGCAACATAACATTACAACCCAGAGCGACCTCTAGACAAATGGACTTTACGTCTCTCTGTGATGCCAACACCACAAAATGAAACATATTCGATTCAACTAAAAGTAGAGCAGAATTTACTAAAAAAAAAAATAATATACAGTTAGTGTAAAAATACATATCCATTTAGATCTTGGATGGCTGACTTTACCTGGCCATTCTCACAGTGCTGGGTGGCCTGCAGCTCGTACGGCGGCTCCACAAAGTAGAGCGAGTGTCGAGGGAATCCTGGGATTATGTTGCTGAGCTGAAAGCCAAACATCACCAACCAGCTCTTCACATCTGCAGCAGCAGGCGAGACACAAAACACACTCTGCTAAATGACACAGTTAAACATGATAAGAAAGGAATCATCAGTTTAATCATTTTAAAAAAACAACAACTCTGTGATTCACACAGGAACCACTTTTTATTCCTGCAGATCACTGACGATATCAAAGCTCAAGTAAAGTTCAGTTTATGAACTGAAGTCAAAAGCCTCCCAGAGTTAAATATCCCAAGATGACCCTAACAGGTCCGAGGCATGTCTGAACGTTTCGTGACAGAGAAAAATGCCTCGTTATCCCAGAACAGGACCGTCACGGCAATCAAGACCCGTCAACGTTCTCTACCTGTGACGTAGTTTTTGACATCCAGCATGTCGCTGAGGGGGTTGTTGTTCTTGAACATGTACAGATTGAACGGGGAGAGGTCCTTCCCTATCTTGGGCCACATGCTGTAGTCGGGCGAGGTCCAGCGTCCGGCCAACACGTCGTAGTCTCGTT